TTCTTCCATTTGCTTTAGCATCTCTACACTGGAGAGCAGGTTTCAGTGTCTCTTCTGACATCTATTTTGACCTTTTCCTTCTTTCTTGTCTTCTTAATGACTTTTTGCTGTCTCCCTGTATGATGTTCTTGATGTCATCCCACAACTCTTCTGGTCTTCAATATTTAGTGTTTAATGTATCAAACCTGTTCTTCAGATGATCTGTAAATCTCTCGTGGACTTGTTTTCATTTTCTTCAGCTTCAGTTTGAATTTGCATATGAGCAATTGATGGTCTGTTCCACAATCTGTCCCTGGCCTTGTTTTCACTGTTGATACGGAGCTTTTCCATCATCTTTTTCCACAGATGTAGTCAATTTGATTTCTATGTATTCCATATGGCGAGGTCCATGTGTATGCTGTTTAAAGTACGTATTTGAAATGAACAAATCATTGATTTTGCAGAATTCTATCATGTGATCTGCAGCATCATTTGTATCGTGCCAAGGCCATATTTTCCAACTACTGATGCTCCCTCTTTGTTCCCAACCTTTGCATTCCAATCACCAGTAATGATCAATACATACTGTTTGCATGTTTGATCGATTTCAGATTGAAGAAGTTGGTAGAAATTTGCTATTTCATCCTCACTTGCTTTAGTGGTTGGTGCATAGTGGTATTAACTGGGCTTCCCTGTAGGTGCATGGATATTATCCTATCACAGACAGCATTATATTTAATGACTAATATGAATATGCTCTTTTTGACAATGACTACAACGCCATGTAGAAAAAGTAGCATGCACTAAAAGATGAAAAGTGAAAGCGTGGAATATGTGTAGGGAATAATGATAATAAGTCTAAAAAGACAGTAATTTAGGATTTATGAAGTGCCATAAGGAAAAACCCTGGTAGACTACATGTCCTCAGTGGTCAAATAGGGATGGCTATCCTAGTATCCACCCTTACCAGGTCATCTTTAAGCACTTTGCACTGTGCTAATAAGATCAGCGCTGGACTTCAATGCACAAGTTCAACAGTTCAAACCTGCTAACTGCTCCTTGGAAACCCTGTATAGGTTCGCTGTGATTCAGAAATAGCCACATATGCATGTGAAAGTTGGACAGTGAATACAGAAGACCATAGAAGAATTGATGCTTTTGAGCTATGGTGTTGGAGGAGAATATTGAAAGTACCATGGACTGCCAAGAGAACAAACCGATGTGTGTTAGAAGTACAGTCAGAATGCTCCTTGGAATCCAGGGTAGCGAGACTTTTTCTCTCATACTTCGGACATGTTATCAGGAGGAAACAGACCCTGGAGAAAGATACCATGTTTGGTAAAGTGGAGCATCTGAGAAAAAGAGGAAGACCCCCAACGAGATGAATTAGCACAATGACAGCAGCCATGGGCTCAGGCTTAGCTATGATTATGAGGTTGGTGTGGGACCAGGTGGTGTTTCGTTCTATTGTGCATTGGGTCACTCTGAGTCAATGCTGACTCAATGGCACCTAACAACAATGTGTTGCAACCGATTTGATGGCACTTAACAACAACATTATTGCGTAAGCATTCAGAAATATGTTGTCAGTTGTTGTCAGGTGCCATCGAGTCGGAACTGACTCATAGCGACCCCATGCACAGCAGAACGAAACAGTGTCCGATCCTGGGCCAACCTCACTACCGCCGCCACACTTGACAACATCAGTGATG